GAGAGAGACAGCTCACAGCAAAGACCGCAGAGAAAACCTAAAGTGCTCTGAGAGCAGGGAGGAGGAGACCAGCGGGGATGTCCGATGGGGAGGTGGCCTTCGGAGACAGTCTTGATGGACGAGTACAGATGACGGGAGAAGGACGGTCTGAGTAAGTAGTCATGTGGAAGAAACAGCAAGGTTAATAACATCTCAATATTTTGACTCACTCAGAAATAATGGGAAACCGTATTGCTGACAAGGGGGCATTGAGTTAATAGGACCTTTGGTTTAACCGGCTCCAATTCGGTGTTTAAGCATCAAGAGAAGATGTGGCCTGAGTCACAAGCCCAGATTAGCACCCCCTTGGACACAGGTCTTCTGAATGGAGTTCAACGGCCATCCTGTGGTCATCACATCATTTTCTGTTAGGGACAAAACACTGTATCCAAGACTTGCCACACGAGGCACAATTGCCCAATATGGACTCAAACTTGCTGGCAAAGAAAGATCAGAAAAGACTCACTCATCGTCCTAAACTGCTTCTGGATGACCCTCACTGAGGAGTGGGGAGGAAGTCCAATGTGCTGTGTCAAGAGGAAAACGTCTGCAGAGTGAGGTCCAGGCAGGAACGTGAGCAGAAATCTGGCTCTCCGTGAAGTCAGTCCTTCAGGAGAACAAGCAGCAGAATCCAGGGCTTACTGTGTCCTAAGGCTGTGCCAACCTGTGCTAGCTTACAGATCACAATAACCGTATAGACGGGTTGTTGGTAATTTCTTATTTTGCAGATAGGGAAACTGAGTCACAGGTTGTGACTTTACCCAAGGGCCACACAGCAGGTAAGTGATCAGGTTGGCCATTTGAGCTAAAACACTGACTCAGAGTCTGTGACTTAAATCCAGAGCTAGCCACACAATATGGAATTATTTCTAACTTCTCACCACGCGGTACTGGATGAAAGTGTGTAAAGAGTCTGAGACCCGTGAATGCTACAAAAAACAGAAAGGCCATGTTTTTCTATTTTTGTTTTCCACCCTCCTCTCTTCGTTTGTGCTGGGTTTTGTCTGGTTCCCAGAACCTCCCCACACTATGTTTCCTTATTTGGGTGGAGATGCCCCTTTCTTTTCCCACTGGACTAGAGGTGGGAAAGCCAAGGTTTTGGGGAGACGTGTCTTATGTTGCACACCACGGCACCATCCACCACTATCAGAGTTTCTTGATTGCACTGTGAGCTCTTGAATGATGGAACTGCTTCAGACACTTCAATACTATTGCTTTTTAAATTGTAATTTAAAAAAAGGACAACTGGAGCCAGGTGATCACCTGCACTGCAGTCTGAATCTGTTCTCTGTGCGAAATGCTCTATTTTAATATTCTGAAGTCACAAAGGCCATAAAGCACCAGATTTTTTTTTCCAGACAGGAGGGACAAGATGGTCGGTGGTGAGCAGATGAATGGTCTTCAGCTAGGTGCTGGGTCAGGGCTGGGAAGTAGAGACAGCCCTGAACTCAGAGCCAGGTGACACTGACCCTGGCCCCATCAGCCCTGCAGAGAAGGTCATGGTCCTTGGTAGTTCAGTCCCTCTTGTGGCCTTCTGTTCCTTCCTCTAAAATCAGGGCCCAGGCCAGATCAGAGGGCCTCCATGGGGCATGGGGAGGTTTTGACCCCAGCTCATCATTTGAGTCAACCATAAGGACATCCTTTTTATCTACTTGTTTTGTGTAATTGAGTTCTGTCTTGCTTTTGTTTGACAAAGGTGTTCCCTAGTTCAAAAAAGGAAAAAGAAGAAAGTTTGAAGTAAATTTCAATGGTTTGAAAAGATAGTATCCATCTGCAGCCTCTGTGTCAGCTGCAGGGCTTCTCTGGTTTTAGAGATGAGAAAAGAGGCCTGAAGCCCCCCCACCCCCGTCATGTGCTGGAAGTCCATGGTCTCCTAGGCCACCTGTGAGTCAGTGTTCCTTCAAGTATTGACCTTACAAGATAGTCTTAAGAGAAAGATTCCACGTGGAGATCAGCTTGCTGTGTGTTTAGTTTGCAGATTTATACCTCGTGTCAACATTCAAGGCTCTGCGAGGCACGCAAGAAAGAGCCCCACTTAACCCAGAATTTCTTAAATCTGTTTCACAACCAAACCTTTCTAAGTTCATAGTGTTAACATATTGCAGCTTATCTGCAAATACTCCCCAGAGAGCCGGCAGTAAAGGGAACTTAGCCTTTTTTTTTTTTTTTTTTTTTCAGTACTGGGGCTTGAACTCAGGGCCTTCACCTTGAGCCACTCCACTAGCCCTATTTCTATGAAGGATTTTTCAAGATAGGATCTCATGGTACTATTTGCCTGTGCTGGTTTCGAACCTCTATCCTCCTGATCTTTGCCTCCTGAGTAGGTATGATTACAGGCATGAGTCACTGGTGCCTGGCACTTTAGCCTGTTTTTATTGATGAATCCACTGAGCTCAGAGAGGAATTTGCTCCACAAGCAGAGAGAGAAGCCTCCACCTGGGTGTCTCCTACCCAGTGCTGACTTGTGTTTCTCCTCTCTGAGGGAATTAGCACAGATTTGCAGAACCCCAGTGTCCTCGCTTTTGGCTGGTGACTCTCACTTCTCTTTCCCGATCTCTGACCTTTGCCCCACTCTTCTTTCCTGAAAATATAAAGTATTTCTTTGGCTTTTGTTTTTCTACCAGACATTTCACAAGTTACAAAAGACTCCAATTAAAATTTTTCAAGAGCCTCATCAAATAATGAAAAAAAGGAAATAAATATTTTAATATCTAGCTGATTTATGTCAAACCATAACTGTGAAGTGGGGGGAGTGGTGGCCAGGTTTTAAGGAAGTATTTGCTACTGACTAAGGACTGAGTGGGTTACACAGGACCAGCAATGAGTGAATAAATACTGGCTTTAATCTTGACTTTGAGGGTTTTAGAAGAATGCAAAATTAACAATTTTGTGTAATTATATATAATAAATATTTTGTGATTTAAAAGTAGAAAATAGTAAAAAAGTCTTAAAAATTTCTTGTGTATTCATATGTAATTTTATCACCTGGCTATTACTTATTTATTTTTATTTTTTGGTGTCACTGAGGTTTGCACTCAGAGCTGCATGCTCGCTAGACAGGTGCCCTACCACTGGAACCACTCCGCCGGCTCATTTTGCAACGTTACTCTGGAGATGGGTTCTTGCTTTTTTGTGTAGGCTGTCCTGGATTGCAATCATCTTATTGTACAATTCATGCCATTACTGGAATGATAGGTGTGCACCACCATACTTGCCTGTTGGTTGGTTGGGGTCTTGTTAAGTTTTTGCCCAGGCTTGCCTGGAACTGAGATCCTCCCCATCTCAGCCTCCCAGTAGCCAGGGTTACAGGTGTGAACGACCAGCTCCTGGCTTTTAAATCCACCTGTGTTGTAAATTCTGAGATGCTTCTTTATGTTACTTTATCATGTTGGGATTCATTTAGAGCCGGGTGTGGTGGCACATACCTGTGATCCCAGCACTCAGGAGGCTGAGGCAGGAAGATCAAGAGTTTAAGATTCATTTGGGAGATCAGGGACTCTGCTCATGCCAGGACCGTGTCTTCAGATGAGTGATGTCAGAGGTTGCACACGGTGAAGAAAGTGACGTCACCAAACCAGTCCAGCCAAGGTCAGGAGTGCTGTCCATTATCAGCAACTAATTACTGATTGTCCAGACACCAGGTGATTGTTCATCTTCTCAACTCAATTCTGACACCAGGGATTAGGGTCAGATGTCACAGGCTGAAGGGCTCAGCTCCCTAAAACGACCCCTCCTTTCACGCACCAATCGCTCAATCAGCACATCTTTAGCTGCACTTACTACAGTTTGCCTGAAGCAGTTTCCTGCCTGAACCATGTCTCTGGCACTGGTTTGCTGGGAGGAAAGGCTCTTGTGGCTTCCATTTTTGGACACACTGAGTACCAGTGAATTACTGAATCCATTCAATCTGCACCAGGCCCAGGGAGTTCTACCTAACTGCTATCCTTCCTACACATGAAGTCGGATCCCGCTTAAGAAACTCTGGCTGTACCATATTCCAGTGTCATTGAACATGCTTGCAGCTCACAGGCTTGTCTTTCACCTGGAGACCGGGGGAGAGAGGACAGAGGACAGATGCTATAAAGTCCATGGAAGAAGGGACTTACATCGGAAAAGTCTAAATAAAAATAGACAGGCATGGCATAGTTTTTCTTTGGAGGCTGTGAAATCTGACTCTTCCTTCTCTGTGGGTTAAGTTTTCTAATGTCTCTGCTGAGCATGCATTGTTGTGTGATTGGGGCCAAATTGCTGCTTCTGACAGTCGTTAGGAAAACAGGCTGCAAGCCTGCCATCCATCCTCCTTTTGGAAGCTCCTCTCTGCGCCTCAACCAGCAAGGGGTGCTTCACTTCTACAGTATTTTTCATTTAGATTTTAATGAAAAAAAAAGTTTTACATTTTTCTGTAGGGAGCACTAAGGACAATGAGGTTTGTGGGCTTGGTTTTTTCCTCTCCCTGCTTTGCAATTAAGGCCATTCAAAGGCGGGGTGTCCTGCGCAGCCTGCGCACCAGCGTGTGCGGGTATTGACCCCGGCGGACCTGGGCCAATCGGAGGGGACCTTGACCAATCAGAGAGGCGTTTGGCCAATTGCCAAGGCCGGTCGTCATGGCGACGGGGCACGCTAACTCAGCAGCAGTGCAGGGGGAGGCCCGCTCTCGGGACTGCAGGGGAAGATGGCGCAGAATTTGTACGGTCCCGGGGTCCGGATGGGCAACTGGAACGAGGACGTCTACCTGGAGGAGGTAAAGAGGGCGTGCCAGGTGCAGACTGAGCCCAGGGACCCCAAGCCCTGCCCTACGTGTGACCTCCGCCCTGCTCAGAGCACCCCAGCCCCCTCTCTCACCCTCCACATCGGACACCCCTAAGCCTCCCTTCTCTGACTGCCAAGGAATCTCAGCTGCGGTCTCGAAAACCCAGGTGTCACGGCTCTTCAACCTGCGTCCAAAGTGGGGAGCCCTGGCCTGTGCCCCCCTAAGTCTCCCTCAGTCTTACAATCTCTACTGTGTCCCAAAGTGGGGTGCCCTGCCTCTCAAGGCCCTGGCCTGTGCCCCCTACTAAGTCCTCCCACATCCTAGAGTCTTACAGTCTGAGAGCTGTGGACCAGGCGAGCAGGCAGACTGGGAGCAGATTGTCCCCTGCTCCAGCCCTGTCCCCTTCACCCCCTTTGACCAGCCTCACACTCAGCCTCACTCTCCTGTGGACTAACAGGCAGGTGGACTTCCCAGGACCGTCATCATACAATGAGGGTCCCCTGTAAGGGAGAGATGGCCTCCCAGTGCTGCTCGTAATTGTCCCTGTCTGGAATAATGACAGAGGTCAACGCTTCCTGCTTTCTGTTTATCTAAACATCCTACAATGATCTAACAATATTAAAGTCATGCTAAAAAATTCCCATTTTCCTCACGTTTCCTTTTCTGTTCTCAAATTCTGCTTTTGCAACTTGAGATGATTCTGACCTAAAACATAATAACATCTGTATTGTTCAGCAGTACTGACCCAGGCTTCGTTCTTTTTCTCTTTAACCAGGAGCGCGTGAAAGACTTCCTAGAGAAGAGAGATAAGGGGAAACTTCTCATCCAGAGAAATAGGAGGATGAAAAGGAACCTTTTGAGACAGGTGATTTTAAATTCCATCAATATTTAAGCACTCTGTTACCCAGATGCTTCCTGAATATACTGAAGAAGGCAGTGTAACGAAACCCCAAATGCTGTTGGAAAAGGGGGTGAGGGAGAGGAATGGTTAATACGACAGTACACTGTGCACATGTACGGAATTATATTATTAATTCAAATGATTACTGATTCAAATGATAATAAAGCTATTTTAAAATTCTGTTAACCAGTACTGCCAAAAATTCTAAGTGCGAGTACATGCTACAGAAGAAAAAAAAAAATCCATAAGTGAATTACTATTTGGAAAATGGTAAAATTTGTGGGAAATTTTTTAATCTGAAAGCTGATCTAGAATTCCTTAAGATTATAGAAACATAAAGGAGGGCTATTATTAATTATGTTCCTTGCATTTTCCAAATAAAGAAATGAGTGGATTGATACATAAATAAGTAGTTGAACAAATTAATAAGGAGCCTACTCATGTGGTTTTCACCAGCTTCATGTGACATCATCTGGGATAACTGGGAGCTTTCCCTTGGCAAAGGGAAGGCAAAAAACTAAGGCTTTGAGGAAATCCAAGTGAAATCCTTGTTGAAATGGGCCTGAGAAGGAAAGAAGGCACAGTGGGAGTGACCTTGACCTGGCAGGTTAGGAAGGCATAGATTACAGAAACGCTCCTATTGAAATTGCAGATGCAGCTCTCCATATCTGAAGACGGATACATTCATTATGGCGACAAAGTGATGCTCGTGAATCCTGACTACCCTGCGAGGGAAGAAGTTGGTTTGTTCCTCAGGGGAGACCTGAGTTTATGCATGACTCCTGATGAAATGAAAGCCTACTTGAGTGATGAATTCGAGGTGCCCTGCGGCCTGAGTGCTGTTCAAACCAAGATCCCGTGGGCAGAAACACTTCGTCATCATGAGGTAGAGACACCTTTGATTTTTGGCTCATTTTCATCCTAGTTTCTGTTTGGACTGTAGCTTAAGGATGTCCCTATGTGAACACTGTAGTCTCATTTTGCTTTTTTTGAGAATTATTGACGAGGGGCTTTTACAGTCTTTATACCTTAGACAGCAGGATACAATAAATAATTGGGCATTTGTGTTCAATTCAGAACGTTTGCTTCATAACTATTGGATCTAGGGAATTAAATTAATATTACACCTGGATGCAAAATGGGGTTTCCTAATAACATCTCAGGATGCTTTGAGCTTTCGAGCACTTTGATTCTTCTTAATATTGCTACATTATTTTTATAACAAAAGTACATAGTTTCATTTAAGGTGTCATTTTCTGGGATTTGCTCTTTTAAAATTAGTTGTCCACTGAAAATGTGCTTGAGACTTTGAAAGTGAGCAGTTAGATTCTTAGAGAATAGAGGCATGATCACAAGTAAAATGATTATTTTCACTAATTTAACTAATTTATAATAGCAATGTTTACGTGACAAGAAAATATCCCTTCCCTCAAGTCCTTCATTTAGCTTTCTCCTGAGTGCAGATAATCTTTATTGCAACAACCAAGAATGGATCACGTTTCTGTTCCCAGATGAAGAGGGGGACGTTTTTAAATGTCTACAAACACGTTACAGCCTAGCTCTTTCTAAAGATGCCAGTGCACGTGACCACAAGTCTTGGTGCAGGTTAGCGGACGTGTTAGGCCACTCCAACCAAAGGCTCACAAGTGGAGTAGCTCTGTCTCTGGTCCACAGTGCAGGGCAGGGAATGGCATGCCGGCGGGATTTGAAGGGCAAAAGAAAAACTTCTGTTTAGTTATCTAGTTCAGTTATGGTGTGTGAACATATTATCGAGAAGCTGGATTGTACACACAATTGTGTACACCAAGAAACAGACGGTAAGGAGTTCACGCTGTGCTTGTTCACGGACAGTGCGGGCAGAGATACCACCGGCCAAGTTCTTAGGTACGGACAGGACTTTTGCCTTGGGATCGTTGGAGGATTTGAAAACAAAATGGTGAGTCTTTACTTCCTGCATCTGCTTTGGGTCAGTCATCTTTGTTTTCTAAAGTGAGCTTCTAACTAATTCCTGACCCAGATCAAGTTCTAATGTCACAACTCCATCTCTGACTTCATTGTAGTTTCAACCTGCAGCCTTTCACAGGCATTTGGGCTCAATTCTTTCCTCCTACAATTCGCCCTTGAAGTGTAAAGTGTAAGGGAGGAAAACCTTTTGCAATGCAGCTGGCAAAAAGCAAAAGTTTCTATGACTCGTTCCTGTAAATTAAATGATGGGCTTAATTAACAATCATCTGACAGCTATCAGATGTCACCAATGCTAGCAAGATACTATCTGACAATTTTTTTTTAAGTGACGGGTGTCACTATGTTGCACAGACCAGTCTTGAACTTCTGGGCTCAGACTATCTTCCTGTCTCAGCCTCCTGAGTAGCTGGGACTAGAGTGGTGCACTACCATGCTGGTCTCTGACAACTTTTTACCTTTTTTTTTTTTTTTGGTGGGACTAGGGTTTGAACTCAGAGCTTCACACTTGCAAACCAGGCAGTCTACCACTTGAGGCGTATCTCCAGTCCATTTTGCTCTGGTTATTTTGGAGATGGGGTTTTGTGAACTACTTGCCTGGGCTAGCCTCAAACTGCAATCCTCCCTAGAACTGCAATCCTGCTAAACTCAGCCTCTGAAGTACTTAGGATGACAGGCATGAGTCACTGGTGTCTGGCTTTATCTGACAACTTTTTAGTTTAAGCTTTTGATTATCAAACTTTTGTCCAATAAGGGGAGAGGGACAATATGAGAATCTTAAATATGTGGAAGCCAGGGAGCCCAAGTCTTTGAAGTTTTCCTTTTGCCAGGGGTCTGCTTAATCCTTGGGGAATAAGAGCCAGACAACTTTGGATTCAAACTCCAGATACATTCCCATGTGATAAGAACTTGCATAAATTATGTAATCTTTCCCAGTCTATGTCTCATCTATGTGCTAACTTATTTAATTCATCAAATGAGTCATGACGTAGGGTCTGTTTTACCCCTGTTTTGCCGATGGGGAAACTGAGGCACAAAGAAGTTAAGTGGTTTTGCCTCAAGTCAGAGCGAAGCGTATGTATTGTTTCGTTGGATCGACGCTCCCATTGCCCTACGATGCAGCATTATTATCGGAAAAATCAATCTTACCACGAAAACTAGGGCACACAGATGGAGAGTGTCAGCCCGATTGTGAGTGCCAATGTGAAATGCCAAAGTGCTGACAGAGACGAGTTTCTGTATCTTTGTGGAGCTCCTCATTCATGCCCTGCACTGTCTAACTCATTCCCAGGGGATAATAACTCACAAAGAGAGAAGGCTTATTTTGACCCACAGTTTTGGAGGCTCCAGTCCACAATCAGCTGGTCCCATTGCCTTGTCCTATGGTGAGGCAGCACATCTTCAGGGGACCTTGTGGTAGTGCAAAGGACGAGCCAGAGAGCAAAGAGGAAGAGGAAGGGGCTGGAGTTCCCACGGCTCCTTCCGAATGATATAAAGGTTCCACCACCTCCCAATAACACCACCTGGGGAACAAGACTTTAATACATGGAGGACATTCAACACCCAAACCATAGCCAGGTGCTTCTCGTATCTGTTGTCCATCACATCTCCTGCTAGGCAGAAACTTACTGAGGATAACAACTCATGCTCGTCTTCCCAACAGTCCTTCCCTGCACAGCCTGGCATGTACAAAACACTTGCTAGATACCCATCAAAAGACACAGAACCTGCCTCCACAAACAGGGTAAAGGCAAACTGGTAAAGCGCTAACAAGAGGCAATACTCTGGGTCTCCAGCAGGATGGGTCAGTTTTTGGCAAGGCTACAGGCAGCCATAGAGCTGACATAAATTCCAAGCATGGCCACCAGTTCCATCCAGAGGACCATGGGTCACCTTGGAGGTTCAAAAGTAAATATCAGCCATGATGGTGTTGCTTTGAGGATGGCATTGGTTTCTGCATCAAGTTCTATGTCACGTTTTATATCTTTATTTAGGCAGTACTGGGGTTTGAGCTCAGGGCTTCCTGTTTGCTAGACAGGTTCTCTATCACTTGAGCCACTCTACCAGCCCTTTTTAGTAATGGGTTTTTTTTCGAGATAGGGTCTCATGAACTATTTGCCCTAGGCTGGCTTTGAACCTTGATCCTCCTGATCTCTGCCTCCTGAGTAGCTAGGATTATAGGCGTGAGCCACTGGAGCTCAACTACAACTTTATTTATAGTAAACAAAATATTTCCGGGAGCAGGAGAACAGGGAGAGGGAAAGAGAGGGAGATTGAGTTTGATATTCAAAGAAAGGAGAAGTAGTTTTAGGGGACGAGAGAGAGAGAGAGAGAGAGAGAGAGAGAGAGAGAGTTCTGAGAAGGCACTTCTATTCTGAGGTAGAGGAAAATAAAGCCTGCTTACACAATCAGTAGGAACAGGGATTTTTGGAAGTTGCTTCTGGACATTTTACCACCTAGCCCTCAGTTGTCCATTTACCCAGCCTCTCGAGGAGCTTAAGTCGTCTGCTGCTGTTGTTTCAGTTATATTTATCCAGTGATCACAAGACCCTTCTGAAATCGTCTAAGAAGTCTTGGCTCCAGGAAGTGTACCTGACGGACAAGGAGTCCCACCTGAACTACTGGCAGGCCGCCTTCCTCGACCACCAGCTGCGCCTGGAGTTTGAAGGTTTCCCCATCCCAGTGAGTGCAGCATGGGTGACTCTGATGTCCATAATATGATATGAGAGGACACACTTCATGCCTGTCTGCAAAGCGCAGGCTTCCCCAGCTCAAATAGCTTAGCCTTTCTCTTTCTGTTTCATTGATAGCTCAGACTTGACGGCACCAGCTTGTCTTGTGGCAGCATCTTAAGTTAGTGTCACTCAACCCCGGATGCAGGTTAGAATCAACCAGGGAAGCCCAGCCCCGCCCCTAAGCTAGGCCGAGAGCCTGGGGTGAGGTCACAGGGATAGTGAGACTGATCTCTCCACCCTGTCTTCACTCAGGCCTTGGTGAAAGACTCTTTCTAGAGAGTGGGAAGTCTTAGCAAGTGAAGGAGGCAGCGGGCAGCTGTGCAGGCAAACGTGCTATTCCTGTAGGGCAGTAACAATTTCGTCCTCGCACCCTGAGCCGGGTGGGACTGGAACCTGAGGTACAGTCCTGCTGGGAAGCAGAGGTCTGGTGGGCACGGAGCAGGCCTCACTGCTTCTCAGATCGGAGGCATCTGACACACAGGACTTGCTGGAAGTCACTGGAGAGTGAGGCATTGGTGGGAAGGACTTATAAACTGGCCCTCGTTGGCCCCTGCCCCACTGTCCAGGGAGTGGTCACTGTTAACAGGCTATTCCGAATCTGCCCAACACTGCAGCCCTGTCTCTCTGGAGCTCTGGAGAGAGGACTGGTGGAAGCACGGGGCCTCTGGGGACATCGGGGAGGATGTGTACAGAATGTGGTTGAGTGAACTCAAGAAGGTTCCATGGGTTTGGCTTTGCTCTGGCCCGATGCTGACCGGACGCTGACGTCAGTAACTCTCTAGGAAGAGCAGGCAAGAACACGGCTAAAGCTGGAACTTGTAAAGAAATGGCCGCCATTCTTCCCACCCCAGGGAGTTGGGTGTTTGGTGTGTTGTGGCTTGGTCAATGCTTGTGCTCTGTGTCCAGACATGACTCGGGATTTTCATTTCTGTCTGGACCCATCATGGCCACAGAGAGGTCCTGACTGATGTGGACATTGTGAGAAATTGATTCTGCTCACCATGGCACAGCTGTGAGGCCAGGCCAATGCCTGCGTGCCAGAGGCTCCTTTCTTCTTTTTGACACAGCACTAGCTTACATGTGTCAAGATTTTAAAAGAAACTTATTTGGCTAGACATGGTGGCACTTGGGGAACTGAAGCAGGAGGATTGTGAGTTTGAGGGAGACCCCATCTCAAAATTTAAAAATTTTGTATCTGATAATAAACATAATATATATTCACTTACGAAGTCAGAAGAGCTCAAAAATAGTATGAAAATCACTAGTATTAATTCCACCTTCCAGAGACACTGTCACGGTCATTTCTTTTTCTGTACCTGAGTATATATGTGCAGGTGTGTTTACAAAATAGGGCGTTGCTCGCTTAACACCACTGGCCGTGTCTCAAGTTGTCAAAGATACTCTGCAGTGTGACTGTGAATGATTACTCCGTCACGCGGATAACTTGGTTGCTGAGTTACTCTCTATATATGCCAAATTGAAATTAATATATTTCTAGATTTTTGTTTATGGAGTCCCTAATTCAGAATGCTAACAGCACTTTCTCTCTCTTTTTTAATGTGTAAAGGCAAATGAAAAAATTATCATCTATCACCGCTATACGAATCGGGGACTGGCCGCCCACCGGCACCTTCTCCTAAGGTACTGTGTTCCAGGGTCCATCAAAATGACACATGAATGTAGGGCAGGTGCTCAATGTAAGGACTGTCCAGACACAAAAACAATCCTCTTTGGTGGCGAGACATTGCTGAAGTCCCTTCTCTTGTGCAGGTAAGCTCTTCACCAGGGGAGGATTTCAGGTACAATGAGACCTCCCCCCAAACCTCGCCCAGACAGTGTGCAGTCTTCCTACAAACATGCCACACTCTGGAGGTCCCCAGGGGCTTTGCATAGCAGTCAGCACCATTAGATGCTTTTGAGATGGAATGAAAGCTTTTTATTAGAGTCATTGTCAAATTTCCCACCAGAATTTACTCTTCCTTGCTGCAGGACCTATTTTGGAAAGGAAGCTGAGGTTGCAGCTCACACACATCTGGATCCACGCAGAGTTGAAAAGCCAAAGAACTACTGGATGTTGGTCACTGGGAACCCCAGAAATCAGTTGTCCACCATGCTGGACTTGCCTACGGCACCAGCAGAGGACACCCCACCCGCGGAGCAGGCCGTGGGCCTTACCACGCAGTGACACGCCAGGTGCACGTGTGTTCCCTGGGGCCCGGTTCTCATCAGATGTAGCTTTAAAAGAAGTTGACAGCTTTAGTCTTGCCTCAGGCTCCTTTTAAATAAGCTAACTCCTGATTGTGATATTAAAACAAAGGCTATATTAGGATTATTGAATTAGCAGTGAGAGTTCAGGACACAGAAAAGGCTAGCACTGGGAAATGAATAGTATTTGAAAATGACAAATGACAGCCTTTGGTTGATAACCAAATTCTGAAGAACTCAGTGTCCTCTGCTTACCTCTGTCCTAATAGCATCTCCTACAGGACTGTGTTAATTTTAAGGGAGTTCTAGCAAAGCTGTCAGGAATGTACTGAATTTTTGGCATTGCTATTTTGCCCTGGACTCTGTACCATGTACCAGAATATGTAGCTGTGAGCAGTGACCTTACCTTGGAATTAAAGACAACCTGTCTGTGTTTCTACCTCTGGCTCAGAAGCTCAGTTCCTCTAGAGTAACCCATTATTTTATAATAATGACTTTCAAACTGCAGAAACCCTTATCCTCTTTGAAACTGGCACATTCGTCATGTCACCCATGTGATTAGAAAGTTCCCAACAGAATGAATACATACCCTTCCATTTATGTGTCCAGTGCTGCATTCTTCCCTCAGGGCCTATGATGTGTAAGGTGTAATAGCCCTGTGGACACAGGTAAGCTGCAAGACCTGTCACAGTCCGGTGTACTGGGAGGCAGAGAGCAGGCTGAGACAATGCAGATGTGGTTTAGATGAATGCAGCTTCCCCTAGTGACTGACGCTCTTCAGAAGACAGGTGTACCCTTCCAGTGCTACAAGAACCTAGGGCAGAGGGTCCACCCTTGGCCGTGCTGTGGGGAGCAGACTAAAGCCTATGAGAACCGGACACAAGCAAGGCGAGATGCAGTTAATTACTTTTACCTGAAGGCCGAGATAGGCACAGCCATCGTCCACGAAACAGGGAAAGGCAGAACAGCTGCATCCCCTAAGTTGTGTTCAGAGAAGCAGGAACGCAAGTTTCTCCTGTTACAATGTCAGAATCCTCACTGTGGCCCCACCTGTTTGCTGCTATAAAAGACCCTGAAGGAGGAAGAGGGGTTTTTGTTTTTGCTTTTGCCTTTTGGGGCTTTACTTTGGGCTTTTGTGCTTTTGGACTTTTTGCTTTGGGGGGCCTTTTGCCTATGAATATTGGGAAGAAGCTTGTACTTTGGGCCTTTTGGTATGGGAAGCTTTTGGAAGGGAAAAGAATTGTTGAAGGGAAAATGCTAAAGAGGGGTTGATAGAAAGTCTGCACGGAGAACTTTAACATAGGCTTCAGAAAGCAAAGCTGAGAAAGAACTTCATACATCGGCCTTAGGAAAGCTAAGCTAAAGAAAAGCCAAAGAGAACAAGGGACAGTGCACAGTGCAAGTCTAGGGACGGAGACCTTAAGAGTTAGGCATATGCAGGTTGCAGGGGCCGCGGCTGTTTGCAAGTTTGAGCACCAAGGCTTTAAGAGAGCAAAAGAGAGATGGGGGCAAAAGAGCAAACGTGGGACAGTGTGAGCCAAAGAAAAGAGGTTTTAAGCAAGGTTTTAAAGAACCCTAAACGAGTAAGGCCTTAAAGAATCAAGATAGAGAAAAGAAGCAATGAGGGTTGTGTGTCTCCAGCCAAGCGTACAACACACCTGAGCCCAAATTTCTGTCTGTCCTGTGTCTTTTCTGAATCTCCAGTCGCCCCCAGTTAAGCCGAGTTAGGTCCAGTAATAACCAAGGAGTGAGAGAGAAAACCTCGCTCCAGCAAGGGAGGGAACGAGAGAAACAGCGCCCCCTTCAGACAGCGCTGGGGAGTTTTAACAATTACTAACGCCTGGGCCCAGCCCAGAACTCCTGATTTAACGGGTAGGGTGTGGCCTGGGCATCGGTGTTGGCGGTGTTCTTTACGTGGTCCTCATGTGTGCCCAGTGCATTAGGAGGTGGGGAGGACGTAGTGGTCAGAGAAGACTCCTGTCACAGGGTCCCAACCCAGCCGCACATTTGGGCCACCCAAAGATCTCTGGAAACACCCCATGTTCAGGCTGTAAGTCACACACCATCGAATCAGAACTTCTGGAGTGGGACTTTAAAAATACAGAGGCTTGGGTCATCTCCATGGGTTCTTACTTAATTTAATTGGAGTGGGATTAGCATTTTAAAAAATTTGCTAATTTATTTCAATGTGCAGGCTGGGTTGAGAGCCACTTGGCTTAGTTGAGAGTTGGATTGGGTTTACTGTGTTTTACCTCCAGAGAGTAAAAAGCCAGGTAGGTAGACTTGGTCTACCTGTCCATCTGGGGAGACAATCCTTAAATAGTCTGCACATCCGCAAGCAACCAAAACAACTCTTGTGTATTTTTACTACTACCATGAGGCCATTCTTATTTCTAACATGAGGTCATTCTTGCTCTTACCATAGGCTCATTCTTGGTTCTACCATAAGGTCATTCTTCCTTCCAGCCTGTCATTCTGGCTCCTACCACCAGAAGGAAAGCTTTCAGATAACATCAGGACTTGCAGTCCTTCCTTAAACGATCCTTCAATGGTTTCTTAACCGAATCACTGAGGAATTTTGGTGCCACCACCAACAACCAAGTTTATACATGTGTAGCCAGTAACAACTCCAGTGTGACCACGGATGGCTGATGGTACATTTTAATGTACACATTAAGGGAATTCACAGAAGTTAAAATTCACAGTGCCTAGAGTGATAGTGTGGTGGTAGGAGTGCTTACCTAGTGTGTTCCAGACTCTGAGTTTTATTCCCAGCGCTGCAAAACACAAAAGCAAAATAAAAGAAATTTAAAAAAATTAAAAAAGCCCAAGGCAATAAAAAACAAAAAACCAATCTCCTGTGCGTCTCATAATAGATCGGGTGCAATCAACAACCTGGAGGGGAACTCTTCTGCACTGAGCAGGCATCTTCCATGTGTCACCAGTGTCACTGCCACACCAGTGCTGCTGCCTTGGGTCTGTGTCTTCTACACTCATCTCTTAATTCTCACCTCTCTCTAGAGTGATTATCAGGTCTTGTTCATTGCTGTATCTGCATTTCCTGAGAAATATCTGATAAGGGAATGAACGAATCAGCAGAGGAGGCAACACATAGATCAAAAACAGCAGCACTGAGGCAGGACCAACCCCCCTAACCCTCTCCTGGCCCAGTGGTTTCTAATCTCACCACCCTTCATTTTTGGGGGATCTGGGAACTGTCCTATGTGTTATATTTGTCAGCATTCTTGGACCCCCATCCACTAAATGCATTCCTTCTCTTGTGCCAACCCAAAACTTCTCCAGTCATTGCTAAATACCCCCTTCTTGGAAAAATCGGCCATTTGAGCACCACTGTCTCAGCCCCTTTTCTCCTTCATTTGCCATTTACAGAGGATGTCATAAAATTCCTCCTCTCTTCCCCTCCCCTTCCTTCCTCCCTTCCTTCTCCGATAGAGACTGGAATCTGTAGTCTCTGGGATGTTGCCCAGGTATATTGATAAACCCAGTTTAGCATCTGAGTTGGGCATTGATAGAAGCCTAGAGTTGTGGCAGGTGCAGCCTGTCCTCCAGGACCAGGTTGCTGTGCAGAGACAGGAGCCACCCAGCACCCAGCAGTGGCCTCCAGTGTGGGATGCACAAGATGGCCATCGAGATGTGAAGAGTATATGATTTCTATACATATTGTTTTACCCTTTAAAATGCACAAATATCTGTGCTTCACACTGTTCAAAACCTGAGTTTTTAATGTGTAGTCTTTTAGTTCAGTGAGTGTGAGTAAAACTGATAAACAGAAGCAGATACCTGAAATTTACTGGGAAGGAGGCACAGCCCCACACAGTGGAGGTCATTCTGTATATTCAGTGTAATCGCGTGTTACTCAGAAAACCCACCAAGACCCATAGTCGTGGACTATGGGCTCCTCCCACCTTCCAAGTTCCACTGAAATTCAATTGAACAAACGTTTGTTGATCATTTACAGAGGTCCCAGTGCTCTTGCTAGGGTGGTGGAGCCAGTAAGGAACAAGCCAAAGAGCCCACCAAGTGACTAGTGCAGGCATTCTAGGATCCCCGTGGAAGCACAAACGATTAGTCATGGCAGAGGCCAGGGCAGGCTGCCCTCAGATGACCTCTGGGCTGGAAGGGACACAGAGGAGAGCAGTCCAGGCAAAGGAGAGGTGGCAACTGGCAGGGGGCCAGTTCAGAGTGGGCTGTGCGCAGAGCTGATGTTCAAAAGACAAAACGAGTGTGTTTGTACTGCTTGTTAAAATACTGCAATAGTCCACCCTGGTTGGAAAAGAGCAACTGACTCAGGTCCCCAAGGTCCTGCCCCTGCCCTGGGATCCCCAGACTTTCCTATAACCAGCAGCTACAGAGTTAATGTCTGGCCCCAGCACTGTGCACAGGGTTCCTTTTTTTGGTTAGTGTCCAGTGATTAAGGGAAATTACACCAGTTATTAAATGTTTTGAATATTTCCTTGACTTCGTGTATCAGGTTACTGAACGTGAACTTTATCTGGAAAGAGTTTGACAGTGGGATGCTTTTGTCTGAGAAAGATCTTTTTGGAGGCGTCAGGAAGGATTCGTGATGAGGCTCTGAATTAGGAGGAGTCAGGAGGTGAATTAGGAGAAGGCTCAGCTGCAGGTGCCAAGGAGGGAGAGACGGGGGGCTGTACAACCTGAAGGCCGGGAGGGGAGGAGAAGGAGGTGGACCCATCCCTGAGTTTCAGGCACAGGAGGGAGAGGTGTGCAGGAAGACGCAGCAGTTGCCTGGGCTGTGTGACCCTCCGTAGAGGCCATTTTCCTGTCCACAGGGCTGTGGCCAGCTGTAGGGCTGTCATATGCCAGTCTGGTCCTCTCCACCCAAACCCCAACTAAGTTTGTTTTTTTTTTTTTTTAAACCTTAAGGTTTTAATTTTATTAAATTAAATTAATTATATTATTTTATACTTTACAATAATATATTATTTTATAATTATTTAT